ACATTCAAATTTAAATCGCATAAGAAATCATTTGCTGTTGCTGACAAGAGCAGAGTAAGGTAATAATTGTCTCAATAAATCAATATTTGAGTTTATTATTATAGGCATAGCATGCAAATTTATTCAGATATTAAAATCAACTTGAATGCTCAACTTCTGCTACTTCCAGCCTTACTGTTTCCATCTAGCTGAATTCAAAAAACAAAACACGATAATGATAATTCAATGTTTTGCAAGTTTCCTCAAAAAGACTGAATTGTTTTCGATTTTTGCTTTTCTCCTTCGAACAATATTAGCTGAGCTGTTCTTTTTTTAAAGCAATTATTTAATTGTGGACTTACTGATGCATATTGAATAGATTTTAGAGTAATGTCAGAGTGTATTTCATAAATAAATAAATAAAATTCCATCACAGTTTTTACTGAGAGACTCCCCAGTTAAAGCTTGTCAATAATAACTGTATATTTCGTTTTTTTTTTTGCCTGAGTTGTCACTTTTTTTGTAGCATATCTTTCGGGGCAGGTTCCACCTGTTTCACGCTCTGCTCGGTTCTACCAATTAATATACCAATTGACCATGGCTACCACTTAGATATGAACGGTTGAACGAGTTCAGCGCAGTGTTCATTAGTATTGCGACCGATATATTTGTGGCTAAGGCGTGTTATCTTTCATTTCCAATCTAATCGCTGCTACTTACCACTTCACATGCACGACTATCGCATCAATATGAGGAAGGTAACTAAAGAGCAGCTGCTATCGATGACGAGGACGATGACGATGTTGCTTGTTGTTCGAGGGTCAATCAATGAGTTATGACATGATGTTAACGTCTAATCATAAGATTATACTTATTAGAAAGGCAGAACTATTGATGCGTTGTTTGGATATAAAATGGACTAATAAAGGCTGAAGACTGCTTATGAAGGAAGAGCAAATATTTTAACCACGGATGAGGCTTACATGCTGGCTCGCTGTGCCTCTGATCGAATTGCCAATAAAGAAGAGGGAGATTCTGTGGAAAATTTTTGAGCTTCTAGTATAAATTAAAAGCGGAGCTAGTGTCGGAAAATATGAAGTATGATTAGTCCAGAGCTTTAAAATCTTTCAAATTCCTAGATTTTCATTTTGGATCAGTGTTGGATTGGAAAGCGAAGCTAATGTCGGACAATTTGATGTGTAAGAGTTCAGGCTTCAGAGCTTTCAAATCTTTCAAATTCCTGGACCTTACTTTTTAGATCAGCACAGGCAGTACACTTTTAATAATTGTGAAAGTCCGCTTTTAACAGATCTTTAGAGACCTAGAAGTCAATAAGGAAGATCGTTTTTCTTATTTTTCAATGCAACTGTAATAGACAGGCCTCTTCTTATTATTTAGAATTAGGGTATTCAATGCTAATGCTTAAACTGTTTACTCGGTAAGAAAACAGAAAGCTGGTTTATACATATTTTAATGTTCTTCTTCACATAGATCGTAAATTGGCGATGTACGAGCAGTGTGTGTATGTGTGAGAGGGAAAGAGAGAGAGAGAGTAGCTCATACGGAAGAATCTGGTCCGATAAGAATCTTCGAAGCCGCATGTTAAATTAGAAGAATTCGTTTAATCTTGTCATCTTTTGCAAGATTCCACTATTCAAAGCAGATTAACTGATTTAAAAATGATCATTTAAGAACAGATCATTGTTGCCTAAGAAAATATATCTTTTTTATGGAGATGAACATTATATTTAACCTTTTAATCAGTTAACTCAGCCACTGCTTGTGATTGGCCCAAATGTGTTGCTTTTCTTATATATTGCCTTCGCGCTCTACATTCCTGGAACAGATTGTGGAAAATATATCTTTTTGTTGGAGATGAACATCATGTTTAACCTTTTAATCAGTTAACCCGTCAGCCACTGCTTGTGACTGTTGCTTTGATTATCTGTTGCCTTCTTGCTCTTCATGCCTGGAACCGATTGTGGACGCTCGCACACATTTAACGTCCGGCTTGATTCTGTATTGTTTAAGGCATTTCCGTTGTCGTGCTTATCAGAAAATATTGCCGCCCCGCACAACACAATGTTGTTTCTAGTTCCGTTGTAATGATAAAGTCATTCGCCAAGAACTAGCCTTTGAATCTGAATGCTGAACATATTGATTGACCCTCGAGCTGTGCGACTGTCTATTGCTTGGCCGTTGTTGTTTAGGGCCTGCCAGTAACATTAAATGGGTTTTATTTTTTAATCATTTCGCTTTGCTCGGGGACACAAGCTTGCCGCGGTTGCCACGCTTGCCACGATTGCCACGCTTGCCACAATTCCGATTGCCCGCTTCCCCTCTTTGGCCGGACAGTCAGCAGTCAGTTCGTTACCGCAGTCCTCGCTAGCTCGGCGGTGCTAACAAATTGTCAGTTGCATACAGAACGAAATGAATAATAAATGGCGCGCATAATTATGTGCAACTGAGTGCATGGGCGGCGTGAGTTTGTGGTTGAGGTGGTTCGGGTGGTTGGGGTGGTTGGGGTGGTTGGGGTGGTTGGGCGCATGCACGGGTGGTGTTGCAAGGTGGCGCTATGCAATCATTGCCAAGTGATAAATATGCGCCGAGGGCCATTCGGTCAGCTGAGTTGACAAACGTTGGCCACTTGTTGCCACACACTTGACACCAACTGAAGTGCCCCTTAATTTACAGTCATTTATATTGGCTGTGTGTGAGTGTTTGTGTGTGTGTGTGTGTGTGTGTGTGCGTGACTGCATCCTGCTCGCAGCTAGAAAATTGTGTGTCATTTCACGGTTCAGCGTTGCTCAATTGTTGATCATAAATCAAAAAAATGCAGTCACTATTCAACGACTGTCAAGACTTAATATTAATATTTATGTTGGCATCGAAGCTCGTTGCTTAGAAATTCAAGCAAGCAAAACGCAGGCTCCACTGTAAAGAGCTGTAATTAATTTTAATTTGTGGCATGAAAGCATTTTAAGCACCGCATGCCTCTTACTACAAATTTATTTAAGCGTTCACACAAAAACCTGTTTGCTTCATTTTCTTCCTTCTTCTTTTTTAGTTACAGCGTAAATAAATAAATCTTTATATTTGTAATTTTTTCCCTTCTTCGTTGCGTCTTGTTTTTTGTTTTTTATTCAAAATGAGAACAGTTTCTTCGTCTCCTCCACCTCAGCGTTTAATGTTCAATAAACAAAACAAAGAAGACAAAAATATAATTACATTTTCATCGACTTCTGAGCCTCGCTACTGATTTCTAAAAATACTTAGCTCTGGAATGGTATTTAATTATGCGTTTGAAACTTCCATTTTATAAAATCCTTCTGTATTTTTGTGACGTTTTGGAAAAGTCGTTTGGTGGCCTTAATATCTGTTTGGAATATTTTTGAAGCACAAATAAAGTGTTTAGTAGCCAAAGCAGAAGTCAGACTGCATTGAACAACTAAGATGAGGGGAACTGCGACCTCAAGAGACGTTTTTTTTTAAATTAACTTAGTAGATGATTCTACGATTCTGGATTCCTCCATTACTCAATAATTTGAATGGTGAATGGCAGAACTTGATCAATGCTTTAAATATGTTTCTCAATTTTTTGTTTGCTTTTGGCAAAAACTCATCAGAAGTGATTCATCCAAGGTGTTTTCTTGCTCTTCCCACCGGGGACGAGTAAATAGTTTTTGTAGTAAAAACCAAGTCTAAGAATAATTGTTTCATTGGAGGACTCTTAGATCTGTAGTCAATAAATAGTTTGGCGACTTCATTTTAATTAAATTAAATTAAATCTCTTAATTCATGAGAAAAGAGAAACCATTTGGCGGCCACAGGATATTAAAGCTAACTCAGCAGCAGCCATTGAAAGGAATCATTACTATAAGTATTTTATAATTAAAAAGATATTCCAAATGAAAAAACTGAAAAAACTATCCAAACTACTTGGTATAAAAAGATCTTATGATCTTATGAGGAAATTAGTGAGAGACTTCATGAAAATGTTGCTCCCACACATTCCAGACATACTCGTATAGTAAGAGTATATATGTACTTAGTACATTACAGAGCCATAGCATATGGAACTTCAAGAAATTCACAAACTGTATGAATTGCAAAATAAATGCCTTAAATGACTGTTTAATTGTTTTCTGAGTCTTTGATGATTCAAGCCGAACACCTCCACATTACTTACCTCAGCAAATGGAGCCTTGAAGTGTGCTCTGCACCTTAGGAATTAACCCTTGCCCTATGCCTTCGGGTTAATGAGGTTTAGGCGTAGGTCTTGCACATTTTCCATTTTCCATTTGCCCACAAGTCGGAGCGGAGCGAAGCATTGAAATCCTAAAGCCACTCTGCTTACGACCAATAATGAGTATCAAAAACAACCTTAAAAATGTCGGCTAATTTAATAAGCAACAACAACAATAGCAACAACAACAACAATAGCAACAGGAAAAGCAACAGCAACAATAGCGATAGCAACAACAATAATAAAAGTCTAAGCCGCTTTACCCTGGCATGCCAATTAATTTGCATAGGGTTCTTTGTTTTTCATTTTCTTCCTTTTTTCTCTTCTTACAGTCCTATTTTTTTGTTTTTTGTTTTTTGTTCTGTTCGTTGCTGTTTTCTGGCTCCTATCCTTGTTTGTGTTTATAATTTTGGCACCAAAACACAAAAGGCTTGATTAAAAAATAATTACAACACTTTGCGGGCGTGAACAAAGTGTTGCTGCGAGTTGTTAGAGAGACAGATGGAGGGCACTTGAAGGGCAGCTGGAAGGGCGTGTTAAGCGCTCGCTTTCTTCTTGTTGTTATATCCTCTACACATACTATATATATATATATATATATATATATATATATATATATATATATATACATACACACACACAGATACACACTACATACACGGCACTGATAGCTAATACTCTGCGACTACTACTAGTAGAGAACTTGCAAATCAAATTGTGAAACAAAATAAATTATAACCGACACTTATAAGCGCCAACAACTAAAAAGCCAGCCATGACAGACCGGCAGGAGAAACCGAGCGGCAAAGAGACACCGACACCAACACCGACCCCGACCCCGGCACCGAAAGTTGCATGTCCTGGCAGCGTCAGTGCCCGGGATGAGAAAGAGAAGGAGCACGAAGGACCCAGCACTAGCACCAGCAACAGCAGCAGCAGCAGCGCTGCCGGAGCCATGGCTCTGGCCATGGGGGCCAGCACATCGGCTGCGGCTGCCGCTGCCGCAGCCGCTGCTGCCGGTGGCATACAGGATGTGGAGCTGGACAGGGAGCTGGACAGAGATCGAGACAGAGACTCTCATGGCGACAGGTGAGTTGGTGGCTTGGCCACAAGCCCTGTACATATGTATCTATCTATCGGCTTAGACACGTGTTCATAGGCACATGCATGCACACATACATACATACATAGTACATGCACACATGAAGTATGCAAGACTGTGTATGTATGTATGTACGCATGTATGTCAATAACAATTAGCTAATTGTGCGTGCCCTCAGTAAATGCCTTTCGGAGCGCGTTGCATGCCTCGACCCGGCCTGGCCCGGCCTGGCGCCCACATCAAAGGCAACTGTGGGCGCGACCTGTCAAAAAAAAAAAAAAAAAAAACTGTCTGCAAAACAGAAAACTGAGGCATGCGATAAATAAATAAAATTAGCATGTCGGTATGCGTGTGTGTGTTATCTTTTGAGGGGGCCTATACTCCAAACCCCCATTTCTATCCCTTTGCCATATGGTCATGTAAAAAAAAAAAACTCCGAAAAGCGTAAATTGTAAAAAGTAAATAAAATAAACAAGTATATATGTATAGTGTTCCAAAAATGTGAACGTTCTAAGTAAATGAGCATTCGAAGCGATAATGAACATTGATTGTGTATCCCCTCTCCACATATTCTTCAATAAAATAGAATGCGAACAGCATGATCAGACTTAAAAGCGTACTTATATGATTTGAGCATACAATGCAACAACACACTCATGTATATACATAACTATTCTGAACATTAATTATATATGAGAATGCCTTTTAAACGACAAAGAATGAACCAAGATTCATATGACTTTTTTTTGTAAATAGTATAAGAAAATATTACAGCAGCCATTGAGCATTTTCTTTGGAAATGTTTATCGAACAACGACCTACGGACAGATTCTAAAGGAAACTAACAATTGTAAGTCACAAATTCAAAATAATTATTGTGTCAGAAATTGAGCAAAGTATGACTCATTTTTTGGAGACCAATAAGATAAAACAACAAACTGCATAATTTGAAAATTAATAGATGATGAGATGAACGGGTACTTCAGTTAAGATTTACAAAAAAATTCATCTCTAGTATGTTTCACCGAGTGCAATTTTAGTTAAGCGATTCGAATGGGCATAAAATGCTCAAAGCTATTTGAATTGGTATGAACTAATAAATTTTTGGTTAAGCGTTTTGAATGGGTATTACATGCTCTGATATGATCTTCAGCAAGTTTGAAATCCTGCATCAAGTACATTTTTAGCTAAGCATTTGGAGTGAGTATTAAATGCTCTGGACTTGGTTTGAGTTCTTTAATTCAATCATCTCTAGTATGTTGGTAATCATCTCTAGTGATTACTAACAGTAATTATCTCTAGTAAGTTGGGAATCTTACATCCAGTACATTTTTAGTGAAGCCAATCATCTCTAGTAAGTTGGTAATCATCTGTAGTGAGTTGGTAATCATCTCCAGTACATTTTTAGTTAAGCATTTCGAATGACTTGGCTGGAATTCCAGAAGTCAATCATCTTTATTAAGTTGGTAATCATCTTTAGTGAGTTGGTAATCATCTCTAGTATGTTGGTAATCATCTCTAGTGATTACCAACAGTAATTATCTCTAGTAAGTTGGGAATCTTACATCCAGTACATTTTTAGTGAAGCATTTCGAATGAGATAGTTTGAATTCCAGAAGTCAATCATCTCTAGTAAGTTGGTAATCATCTGTAGTGAGTTGGTAATCATCTTCAGTACATTTTTAGTTAAGCATTTCGAATGACTTGGCTGGAATTCCAGAAGTCAATCATCTTTATTAAGTTGGTAATCATCTTTAGTGAGTTGGTAATCATCTCTAGTATGTGGGTAATCATCTCTAGTGATTACCAACAGTAATTATCTCTAGTAAGTTGGGAATCATCTCCAGTACATTTTTAGTTAAGCATTTCGAATGACTTGGCTGGAATTCCAGAAGTCAATCATCTTTATTAAGTTGGTAATCATCTTTAGTGAGTTGGTAATCATCTCTAGTACGTTGGTAATCATCTCCAGCAGGTTTGGAATCCTACATCAATAATATTCACTCTTTTAAATTGCAAATACCCCGTTAAGCAAATGAGATAGTGCCCCCAAACATTATCAATTCATAGCTCAGCCATTTTAAAGCTTATAGTTGGGTAGAAATGTTCTCAAAATATACATATATTTCATAAGTTGTTTATTCAAAATAATAAAACATTGTTTTCACTTTATATTAATAATCGCAGAAATCAATGGAAGCGGTAGATAATACTTATAAGTATAGACATTCATTTTTGCAAACTCTTCATATTTTTATCCAAATCTAAAATCCTAGTTTCATAATAAATATGGTATTTGTTTTTAGCTCGATCTTGAATAATCTTCTATATAGTACAAGGAATATGAGTTTAAGTATTTGAGATCGCGCTCATTTAGTTTAAGTTTTTTAACTATGTTATCAAACTTAAATGGATTTCTTTAAATTTCTAAATGAAGAACTTTTCCCTCAAATCGAGGGAAATAATGCTCCGGTCCAAAGCCTAATTATTTGTATTACAGCACCTTTATGCAGATTTATATAACAACGTTCTACTTCATTAGTGAGATTGGGAGGCTTCTGACAAGCTTGCAGAATAATGCTTGGCATTTCATTTTGCCACAAGTTGACGGCCACAGATTAAAATTTGTCTACACTTTGTGGTCTTCAACAATTCGTAGTTGATAGACCAACAACAAATTACAATTAACTTCTACTCGCAAAGTTCTAGTTCTAAGTAAAAAGTGAAGGCATTCAAGCGCAATCCTCTTAAAAACTGTTCTAAAAAAAGTTAATGGCTTTCTGCAATATCTTTGTCAACTAAATACCTTTGGGGAAAGAGTAGCATTGACCTTTCAGCAGCTCATGAAACTTTTACTATTTTTATTTTTTTTGCGGTAATGTGATATCCAAAAATATGAATACATACAAAGCCAAGTGTACTTTTTGGGCAGACAGCTACTGCGGCCACAAATATGATGATATATTTGACACTTGGCTTCCCAATAGGTTCATTTTATTCAGCTTTGGCTAATTAATTAGTGAAACTCATGCGTTGGCGCCATTGTTCCCGATTTGGTGCTGGTTGTAGTTGTTGTTCTTCTTGTTGTTGTAGTTGTTTTTGGGGGACAATGCAGGGTGCATGTAAGTGCTAATGTAAAGAAGATGTAATTGGAGGACATTTGTGTGCGCTATTTATAGACCAGATGTGTTCAGCGCAAAGAAAAAATAAAGCTATTCTTGAATGGTGGCGAAGAACAGCCTCTTGAATTTTAGATACACTCGAGATTCGAATATGATTTCAGTTTTCGACACTAAACGATGTATTTTTATACTCTGTACATGAAATGTACAAGAGTAGGTTTACAGAGTATACAAATTTGTTAAAAGAGTCATAGCAGTTGACAGCAAGTCCTAAAGGATATTAACCTTTTAAGCCCTAAGAAATGCGTAACTCGTAGAACAAACATGCCTTATTAAAGAATAGTTGGATAACCCTTAATCTCTAATTAAAGTTGTAGGTCGAAGTGCCCCTAAAATAGTAAATTTTGAATGCGTCTCAAAACTTGAAGCACAATTTGTAAGCCCGATATTGGAACTATTTTTAATTAATTTGAAGGCAAAGCATTTCTTCAGAAATTGCTGCAAAATAAATACAAAATAATGCCTATCTTGATTAGGCTTCGAAAGTTAATGCCAGCAAGTTTAGTTATAAGTATAGAAGAGAATGGTTTAAAGCATTTGTGTGCAACTTATTTGTCAGTCTCATCCAATCATAACAGAGAAGAAATACAATGTTCTTTCATTTGACACATTTATTTAATTAAATTGAAAATGTTTGACGCACAAATGTAGTATGAATAAATATTCACAGATGTAATATTTTAAAAAAATTGGCAAACAAATTGTAGCTTGTGTTGGGAAAAGCAATCCATTTAGTCAACAACAAAAAATTAGGTTTGGGAATAGACATTCAAATAGACTTGCGAAATTAATAAAAATTTAATAAATGCCACGAGTTCGAATTTAATAAATAATTCAATGGTTGTATGTGCACAGCAGCTATTAGTTTGGCTAAGAAGGATAAAATTTTTATTTAACAGAATGTATCTGAGATATAAAGTTATTGCTTAGTTGGCCGGACGATGTCCCCTCCACAACACACCTCCCCCCCCCCCCCCCCACAGATTCAGCTTAGCTTGTAGTTTTTGTTGCTGCTCGAGGCGACACGTATATATTACATGGGGATAAATGTTATTCAAGCTCCTTTCAGCAAACAGGACCTAGGGCTGACACTAGCACGTCCTCCATACCTGTACATAAGTACATGTGTATGCAGAGATATGTACATACTTTTATAGCTATATATACATACTTGTGTATATATATATATATATATATAAAGAAAAAAACATACATGCATATGTTGTTGAGGAGCACTTAATTATGTGACTAACAATTAGCAGCAGCGACTTATGCCAGTTGTTTGACATACACGAAACGCACACACACACACAAGGACAGACACACACAAGGACAGACACACACGCTTATAAATAAGCTGTCTGCAATGAGGTGGGCTTTGCCTTTTGGTCGCGTGTTTTATTTTACAAAACCTGCAAGCAACAGCTTTTCAGTTTGCAGCTAATTATGTCCCAATTACCTTCTACACCCAACACTAGCTTTAGGCCAAGAGTGAGCAAGATAAATATATAGTTGTATAGAGAGAGCGGGAGAGAAAGCGCGTGCGACGTGCCTTAAGTTTATGGCTTAGCTGATGTCGCTTCTTAACGCATTAGTTATATGCCTCTTTGCAGTAAGATTTCTAAGCAACACACACACATGCCAGTGCCCAGCCAAGTGTGTGTGTTTGTGTGTGTGTGTGGTTTGTGAAAACAGTTTGCTTGCAAGTCTGCTCCAACGATTGCAATGCCAATCAGTTTGTCCGCCCACAACTCAACGACTTGCTACTTTCAAAATACTGTACCGCATGCTGTCTTCCCAATATC